CTTGACATCATCTCCAATTTATCTTCACAAGTCAAGAGCTGATTATGTGCGAAAGATCATCGGAAATTTGAATATTTTAGAGGTCACTTTCTATTTCTGAACTAATTTCAGATAATTGTGGTCTGCCTTTCAAGGGTCGTAATGTCCTCAATTTTCAAGATCTCGGGACGACTATTTTTGTACATTGTCATGAGCGACGTCATCAACAAGTCCTTTTTAAGAATCGAAGGAAATTGTGAAGACTTTGGAGTTTATCAATTTGTCAGGAGTCATTTTCTTGATTTAGAGTATTTTCAATTTCTAGTTGATTTCTCAAAGGGTGCGATTCTTATGTTAAGACTGTCCATGGAACGAGATGTTGAATTCAGAGATTCATATTGAGTTCTAAGAAGATGTTGTTTATAACACAAGTTGCCATGCCGAAAATTGATTTATGATCTTATTGAAAATTACTTGAGTTTTCATTTGAATATTGTTTTGATTAGCAAAGAATTACACGACATCACAAGCTTTTGTCCAAATCTATTACGGTTGATTCGCGTGGTTGGTTTTGAATTCAAGGTATCAGAGAACGAATTCGCTAAAGGTTTCTTCAAATTCATTCAAACTTTGGAATGAAAACATGATTAAAGCTATGTTGTGATTCATGGTTTATCTAAGTCACAATTCTCATGAATCAAATCAATTGTTGAACCTAATGCAAGACTTTTTTAAGCCGCTTTGGAATTCAAGACTATTCAAGTTTATTCAAGAATTAAAGACTATTCAATGTTTATTAAAGAATTCAAAGTTATTCAAGTTATTCAAGAACTTAAGATTTACAACAAAACGACATTGTTATTTGAATATATTTCACAATTCTCCAAGTCTTCAAAGTCAAATTACAAATGAAGGCCACAATGTTACAAAAGTTGCAACAATACAAATTCCTAAGATATTGATTTTTTTCATCATCAAGCTTTCTTCAAGCGCTTCAAGTCACTCTTCGTCAATTCTCCCTATCGTCCAATGTGCTCGTACATGTAAACAAAAGAAGAGCATTAGTTAGCAAAATTCATGTTGGAACAAGAATGGAAAATTTCAAAAGAAATCTCTACATTTTCATCATTAGGGATTGGTAAGAAGAATCAGAAATAAGGGGGCAATATTTCGTCCATGTTTGGTCCATTGCAAATCACAATCTATTAATTGGTTCACAGAGGACAAAATAAGGAGAAATGCAAGTCAAAATCAATAAGTTCATCATGTTTTCAAATGCTGCAAAAATAGTTTACATCACAGTAAAAAAAGAACAATCACAAGAAGCCAAAATGCTGTCAAAAATGGACTGCATTGCAGCCCTCCATAGGATGTCCATAAGAGGCCAAAATCTGTCAAGAATAACTGCAAACATACATCCAGAATTGCACATATATAGGCCAAGTCAGAACTGTAACAAAAAGGAGCAAAAGCAGCATAACAAATATGTTCAAACCCAATTGCTTTTTCCCCCCAAAAGTTTTGTTTTTCAGATGAAGAGTATAAGCATATAACATGGCCATTCGGGACACCAAGAAGGAGGATTCATTATTAAAAAAAAGGCAACAGTAAGAACAGATACACAAAAAAAAACAGTAAGAATATTTTCATATTTCAAAAAAAGAACCAGCAGCAAGAGGAGATACAACAAAGCATACAAAACCCCAAAGGATCTCATCATCATTTTCTTAATACCACCCTTCAGAAAAGAAGAAAAGATAGAAATCAACTTCCCTGTCAAGCAAAATCCAGCAACAAGGTAAAATCCCTATCACTTCTCTGCATTTATCATGAAATCTCTCATCTGCATATATTCTGTTTTTGTTAAATAGTCAGATAAAGAAAAAACAGTAAAAACCAGAACAAACCAACAATCCAAGAAAGCCAACAAATCCGTCACCGTCTCAAACCATCACCAACCCACAGTCAAAAACCCAGTACGCTAGCCGCTCGAAATTCCCTCCAAACAGCTTCCGCAACTCCCTCTGTCCATCATCACCGTAGTCGGCAACATGCAGAATAGAAGAGTGGAAAACCGCGGTAGGATAGATCGTTTTCAGACCGTGATTCCTCCATCAATCGGAGAGCGGCCATTTGATTTGAGGCCGAGTTCAGTGAGGGGTGATGTGGCCAAGTTCGGAGAGAGAGAGAGAGGAGAACGATGGGTTAGAGTGAGAGAGAGAGAGAGAGAGAGAGAAAAAGAAATCATTGAAAACTGAGTTAGAGATAAAAATGGAGGTTCAGAGAAAACGCGTTTACAGTAAGGAAGAGAAAGAAACGTGTGTTAAAGGGAGAGAGAATAATGTCACTTTAAGAGTTTGTTCAAAGTTTTGGAATAAAAAAAACACTAATTGGGTTATTGTCTTCCCATTTTCCTATGCTAAACGTCGGCGGCGCTTTTTGTTCTATTTTAGGGTTATTTTTTTCCCTAATTACTTCCCAACCGGGTCAGGCCCCTTGGGCCTTTTGGCCCAAATCATGCCACCACATCCTTCTTATTTACCATTTAAGCCGTTTGAATTACAAATAAGTAGTACAGTTCAGTTGGCAGAGTGCATCCTTGATAACCCGAGTGGCCTGAGTTCGATTCCTCTTGTGGGCATTTTTTGTTTTTGCTTAATTCTTTCAACCTTATCTTCTCTAATTTTTTATTTATATTTTAGTTTTAATAAAATAATTCAACTAAACTTAACAAAAAAACATACATTCTTTTTTATACATAATTAATTTGATCTAGACTTTGTGATTAATTTTTTATCAATTTTTTTTTTAAATAAACTTTGTTTTAGGTAAAATTATTAATTAATTTACATATAGTAAAACACCAAAAATAATAGAATTTAGTTTTATCCTTCTTTAAATTTTTACTTAAATAAATAAAAATACAAAAATAATACATATGATTTAATTTCTTTTAGACAATTATTTTATTTTTAGAATAGATTTTACTTTCTTCCTTTCAAATTGTTTTTTTTTCACAAACAAAATACCAAGAATTTATTTCCATATTTTGTTGGTCAATACTATTTCATAAGATTGTTGTAGTTTTAATTAATTGTCCGATTCAATTTGGTTGTATTGTTTTCTATTTGGACCTTTTAATCGCATTTGACTCATCTCCATTTGTAAAAATTGTACCCCCATTCCCGAACACTTTGTAATAGCGTAGAATTTCAATTCCCGCAATTTACTGTTTTCCTTATACTGTATAGTAATTAGGCGTGCATGGCAAGACATAAAATCAATCGTTAGATAACCTAATCAAAGAACAAAATAACTTGAAATAAACATACTTTTCGCACGCGCACCTCTAGGGTAACCTCGCTCGTTGCCTCGAAAATACAGTCATGTCCCTCGAATATGGGATGCTTTAGCAATGACCCTTCGATAAAAAAAGATCGTAGTCCCTCGATGACCCTCGACGTTGCCTTCGATAAAATGATCTCGTCCCTTGCGAAAATTGCTAAAGCGTCTCATAAGTTGCTTTTGATGACTGAAAAATTGACCCGCGCCTGTCCCTTTACATCCAACGACGGGGCTTCTTACCAAATTAATGGTAAGATAGAAAAATTAAAAGGAGGAAGAAAAGAACAATTGAAAACCTTTCGAGTAGATAGATTCGCTCCTAGTTACTCGCTTGCTCACGATAAAAACATTTTTACACCTACACTTTCATTTCAAAATATTTTCAAAAGAATTTTTTTTTGTATACGTTCTTATAAAGACGAGAACCATTATAAAACATAATTACAAAACATCTTTTCAAAACACAATCCACAAACACATCTTTGAACTACTTTTCGAAACAAAACTTTGTACACGTTCTTATAGAAACGAGAACCATTACAAAGAGATTTTTTCAAAACACTTTCAAAGTCCACACCATAAGCACACTGTCAAATAAAAGCAAGTGATCTAAACGAGTAACTAAGAGCCCATGGAAAACCATGGATGAAAAATGTGCTAATACCTTCCCTTTTCATAATCTACCCCCCGAACCCGAGAAATAATCTCGAAAGGTCTTTCCTGTGCTTTTTCACCTTTCCTTTTGGATAAAATAAAAGTCGGTGGCGACTCTTGCTATCCGTACAAATGCAATCGAAATATAAAACACTCAAGTCAGTTCTCCCACCGCATCACAATATAGTTCTGGAAAGAAGTAACGGTAACATTTATCTTCTGAAGCAAGCATGTTCTGAAGCGTTACAAATCACTTATGGCTATTTAAAAGTAATGGCTGAAAGGGAACACAAATCTCTATTTTTGGAAAGCTCTTTAATTACTATTTATCAACATTCCAAAAGCTCCCACATGCGTTGCCTATATGAACAAAGCTTGAAGGAGAAACCGTTTATGATTTTGAGCGTACAACAAATGAGTCATCTTCATCACCTTCAACATATTGAATTTCATTTGTGTAAAACATTACTTGTGTGATACTGTTTTATTAAAAAACACTTTTTGTATATTTTCTTAAATATTGTATAGTGTAATTCCTTGAGAAAACCGGGTTGTGGTTTAAACTCAAGAAGACTTTGACGGTTGTTATAGTAGCTGTGTAATCAAGTTTGATTAGTGGATTAGGACCTCGTTGAGAGAGGCGAAATCACCTTGGCAGGTAGACTGGAGTAATTTGAGTTCAAACGAACCAGGACAACCAACATATTTTTTACTTAAAGTTTTAAAAACCCCAATATAACCCTCCTTCTTGCATTTTTCCATTCTTCACTCATGTGGACTCACGATTGGTTCTCCATAATCCTCGTATTCAATTTAAAAAAATAATAAAGAAAGAACCAATAACTACCATACAAGTGGCTATTATTGTTAAAAAAATAAAACACATCCTATAACTACAATATCAGGAACGTGAATACCTTCATTATATCTCTTTCCCTTATTTCTTCAAATTTCCTTTTCCTTTCTTTCAATTTATTTTCAAGACTCCCCATCTAAATACAACAAAAATCCAAACGCCCTATTCATAAAATCGGATAAAGATTAGCAAATTCACAAGATCTTGAAGGAAAGGGATCAAATCTGACGGCTAAGAAGGATGGCGTCAGAGCTAGCAGCCTGGTCGACGGAGTCAATGATCCTTGTGGCTGGGCTCGATGCAGCTTCGAAGCTCTGCGATCTCGCGATGTTGTCTCGGAGTGGAGTATAGACTCAGATCTAGCTTCGACTTTGCTTCTTCCTCCAGTTTGATTTTGTTTATCTTCTTTCCTCTTTTTGCTGCAAAATAAAATTTGACACTGTGTTGTATGGTAAATGGATGAACTAGAAATTTTTGAGATTACAGTGATTTTGTTTCTCTTTGCATTATAGCCGCAATTGTTTGGACTTGGATTTTGATGGATTTGTGATGCATATTGGTTAATGAGTTTTTTGTTAATCCAAGAATTAGAAATCATGTGACAACGTTGATTTGAATTTGGTTGGAGGCTTTGTGAAGGTAGTTCCATGTTAATGATGAAGGTTAAGATTGTGGAATTTGAGGAATTTCTTTACGTGATGAAATATGTTTTCTGGGTGGAATTTGTGTAAAAAAGGAAAAATAAAATAAAATAAGGATTTTGAAAGTGGATGTGAGTGTTAGAAAGATGGTGTATAGGAATATGAACTTGTATGTGTTATGAGAGAGTCAGTGTTGTATTGTGAATGTGAATTGGCCTTCAAAAACGTTAATAATAAAAAATAATTTTGAAAATAAATCACTATCAGACAAATGTTCATTATATGGTAAAAACAACAAATAAATTAAAAATTATAACAAAAAAAATTAACAAACCGTGAGGCCTTATATTTAATCCTCGACCAATAATAAAATAAAAGTAACACCAATAATATTGAAAAGAAAATTTGAGAGACGAAGTGTCTGTGAGTGAAAATTGTGGAATTCGTTGATGAATTGTGTATGAAATTCTTGATTGTGTGTGTGCAATTCAAAAATTATGGATGGAAGATTATAACAAATAAGAGTCCTATTTATCGACTTGAATGAGGTTAAAAAAAACTTAGGGAGTAAGTTATCTAAAATGTATGAAAAGTCCAAGCCCGATTTTCAAAAAAAGAAAGAAAATTAGTAACAAAAAGAAATAGAAAAAATATTAAAAATGCAACACACAAAATTCGAAACCGCGACCTCATACTTGCAAACTTCATTTTTTACCAATTGTACTATATTACTCATTTGTAAATAAACTCAATTGAAAGTATATGAAAGGTGTGCAAGTATTTTCTATTTTAAAAATACAAATAATTTTAAATAAATTATCATATTTTTAACTGGACTTGAGAACGAATATTTATAGAACCCCAAAATACTAATGTAAATCAAAAGAATTTTATAAAAATCCAAGTTTGAAATTAATTTCGACCGTAGTGATAAAGGGCGAGCAAATTTGGAGTATGACTGCTGCCCATATTTAATCAATCTTTGATTGAATGGTGCGAGAATACGCAGGTATCACACGTTCAAATCAGAGGACTATTAAATAATAGAAGATCTCTAAATTTGGACCAAAGCATTATTAAATAAAGGTACGCTAATTAGCATACCTCATAGCTCCAAGAAATTGGCAAGGACGATGATGCATCATCCTACCAGAGTTTGAATAGAGAGATATGATCGAAGAGTAAGTATAGATAATGGTGTACCATCTTACCAACGTTTGAACCATAGTTTTGATTTAACTCAGACACGAAGACGCGGATAACTCGTAAGTATCTAAGAGAGATTTTAGATTTTTTTTGTTGCATATTTACAAAAATACAAGTTTTGAAAAAGTTGACTTACTAATGCTTGGAGACTAATATAGTAAGTCTGGATTTAATTTGATTTTATCTATTCATCGCAACCTAGCGAATGAATAAAACAAAGTCTGATAACACATTGTTTCCTGGAGACTGATGTAATGGGTTACGTAGATTTATTTGCATATCTATCGCAACCTAGGGGATAGATATTTGAAAAAAGCTTGATAACTACATTACTGCATGGAATCTAATGCAATGAGTTATATTGCCGACTTTGTCATGTTTACTGCAACTGAGAGAGAAAATAATTCAAGGATGAATTCACGTATTCATCGGAACCTAGAGAATGAATAATATGAAACAACAAATTGCACATCTACAACAAACTAGGGGATAAATGATTGAAAAAGCTTGATAACAACATCGCTGCATGGAGACTGGCGCAATGAGTTATATCGTAGATTTCCCACATCACTGTATGGATACCGACACAATGGGTTATATCACAGAAGAGGAAACTGTGTATTTATCACAACTTAGGGGATAAATAAAACACCATTTGATAATACATTGCTCCATGGAGACTTATGCAATGGATTACACAGATTTATTCACATATCTATCGCAACCTAGGGGATAACTAATTGAAAAAAATCTTGATAACTACATCACTGCATGGAGACTGAGGCGATGAGTTATATTGCAGATTTTGCACATTGCTGCATGGAGCCTAACGCAATGAGCTATATCGTAGAGGAGGAAACTGTGTATTTATCACAACCTAGGGGATAAATAAAACACTGATTGGTAATACATTTCTGCATGGAGACTGATGCAATGGGTTACAAGGATTTATTCACATATTTATCGCAACCTAGGGGATAGATAATTGAAAAAAGCTTGATAACTACACCGCTGCATGGAGTCTGAGGCAATGAGTTATATTGCAGATTTCACACATTGTTGCATGGAGCCTAACGCAATAATCTATATCATAGATTTCCTATATTGCTGCATGAAGACTGATGTAATGAGTTATATCGCAGAGGAGGAAACACATCGCTGCATGTAGACTGACGCAATGAGTTATGTAATACGGTGGGAGAACTAACTTGAGTGTTTTGCATTTTATCGCAATTGTTGCGGATAGCAAGAGTCGCCACTGACTTTTCTTTTATCCAATAAAGGAAAGGGTGAAAAGAATAGGAGAGACCTTTTGAGAATTTTCTTTTGTTCGGGGGGTATGTTATAAAAAGGGAAGGTGTTAGTACCCTTTTCATCCGTAGTTATGTACAGGCTCTTAGTTGCTAGCTCACTTTGAAATACTTTGTTTGAAATGTTTTTGTGATGTTTTTGAAAGTATTTTTGAAAGTGCCTTTGTTTAGGCGAACTTTGTAATGATTCTTGTCTCTATAAGAATGCATACAAAGTGTTGACTTTTGAAAATATTTCATTTGAAAATGTTGGTGTGTTTTGAGAGGTGTTTTGAAAATGGTTGTGAGCAAACAACTATGAGTGTTCTACCTACTCAAAAAGTCTTTGTTCATTTCCTTCTCCTTTAGATAATTCTATCTTGTCATTGATTGGTAAGAAGCCCTATCATTGGATGTGAAGGGACAAGCGTGAGTCGTCGTACAATCATAGAAGGCAACATTGTAGGATACCTTAGCATTTTGTTTGTAAGGGTCTAAGATCATTTACTGAAAGCAACATTTGAAGGGTCATCGATGGACTACGATCTTGAATTCGAGGGTCATTGCTAAAGCATCCCACGTTCGAGGGACATGACTGTTTTTATCTTAGGCAACAAGTGAGGTTAGCCCTAGAGGTGCAAGTGTGCAAAGTGTTTATTTTTCATGCATTTTTGGGGATCTGAATAAATATAAAATAAAATATAAATATAAAATTAAAGCCAGGGGATCTGAAAATGATTTAGGGTGTAAACAAGCAAAACTAATTTTTGTTGGAGTTAGGCCCAATAATAATTTTTGTAATCAGACAAGAAACAAAAATAAAAAAAAGTTTGAGTTGGGCTGCGTGTGATAAATAACAGGGAGGGGTGTAGCAACTGGTTTTTTAATCAAGAGTCACCACTATTAGTTTTTATCCTAGGGAAGGGAACCTAATAGAAAACCCTAATTCGCAGACAGAGATTCTAGGTTTCGGACTCAATTAGACGAAAGGAAGGTGTTAGGCACCTTTCATCCACCTTGTTCACAAGGATATTAAGCTCTAGGTTTAGGTTTGGGATAAACAGGATTTTAAGTTTTAATTAGTAAGACTCGCCACGATTTTAGATCGCGTGCCTACGTATTCTCTTATGAGGAATCAGAGTCTCAATTCGTAGTTCGTATGGTTTAGTGTCTTTTAGGGGTTTGCAAACATATTTTGAATCACTTCGCACTCGGTCGAGAGTAGTGATTGTGGAGATTTTGACTGGATGCGCAGTAAGCCAAAACCAGTTTGAAACCCATTTGCAAAAAAGACCGTTGGTTAGCTTAGTTTTATTGCGAAAATAAAATTTGATGTTTGGTTTGTGTTTTTTTAATTGTATTAGTTGCGAAAATCTCGATTAATGCATGATTAGAAAAAATATTAAATGCAAATAATATAGAAAATAATATATGAATTTTTTGAATAAAAATGATTTATTTGATCATATAATAATATTTACATATAATAAATAATAATAATATTTAAAATATGGTAATAAAAATTAATAATAATAATAATATTTATAAATGAAAAAAAAAGAAATAAATACTTAATATAAAATATAACATGAAAAATAATATAAAAAGAAGTAATAATAAAAAAAAATAAAAATAAAAAGTAAATCTGGGGGGTGCATTTTATTGACCAACCAGTAAAAAAGGGGGGTGCTGGAAGTTAGGCCCAGGTTGGCCCAAATGTTTCTGGACAGGGTGGTGGTGGTGCGTTTTGCTTTGTGAAATTAGTAAACATCTGAAAGGGAATGTGGATATCAATGAGCTTGGTCCACAAGAGAATTGAAGGGGGTCCAGGCAGTTGTGTGCGTGTGAGTGTATGGGTCATATCGTGTGGCTTGGCTTTATGGCCGCCTGATTAAAATCTGATGGCCAACAGCGAAAGAACACGATTACTATGGTGGGCGCGCGTCATGGGATATGATCTGATAAGAGATTTTTGTTTTTTTATTCATTTTCAATTTCATTTTACAAAACTTATCCCTTCCTCTCACGCCATCGTCAGAACCTTCTTTATCTTCTTCCCCAAATTCCAAAACCCTAGCTCGTTCTCACCTTCGGCGGCGGCTGAAACACCCACCCTATCTCAACTGCCAATTAACCCCAACACAACCCACAAACAAAATCAAACGAACAAAATAAGCTAAGTTGTTTTACCCCGTTCACAATTCTGTATTCCGATCCAGCTTCTTCCGATTTGGGTACTGATCTGTTCGCCTCTTCTTGTTTGCAGGTAACGATGGGTTGGAGATGGTGACAGTGAAGGTGGTTGATGCGATTGAAGGCGATGGCGTAATGCGAACAACGGTGGTTCAAGGGCTAGCGATTACGGTTTTCAATCCGGAAACTCTAATCGCCTCTTATTTTCGTCTTCAACGGTAAAGGGTTCGTCCTCTCTTCTTCACTTCATCTCCGTCTTTGTCGTCCCTTCCACCTTGTTCTTGTTCCGTCCAAAGGGTCTCTGTCCCTGTTTTCTGTAA